TTATCAGTTCAACAACCTTGTTTTCTTGGTCTTTCACGTGATCCTTTACTTGCCGTAGCCAGTCCATCTCCATCTGTCGATACGCTCCATCTATACCATTTCGAGGCAGAGAACTCGGATACTCTATGTCCATTCGCTTGCCCCTTATTCCATCTTGTTGCTGCCTACCCCTCCTTCCACTACTGCTGCTACATCTCCCCTCCCTCCTCTGCTGTTGTTGCTCCTCCCCATCCTCGCCTCGTCAGCCATGGCTCGGATGACTGCAGTGGCCATGCTGCTGCCAGGGCTGCTGGCCGGCATTGTTATCGGCACTGCCATCTCAGTGAATAGCATCACGCCGCTCGCAAGGGATGCCTGGCATGCCACCAGCACACAGGACGTGAGTCACTATCATGGCAAGTTTGACCGCTCTGGCAAGGTTGGGATGTTGGCCAGATTAAACCCTTGCAAGTCAGCCATGGCTTGAGTCTGAGCATGCGTGTGTGTTCTTACTGCAGCTTACACATGAAACCGATAACCACACAGTCAATTACCCTCTCACGGCCCCTCCTGCGTCTCGTAACCATGTAAGCAAATCCTCTGCCTCCATACCTTGTTTTTTGCAACCTTCTTTTTATTTTACTCCGTTGGATGAAGCCGGGATGCTCATTTAATGTTTTCGCACTGAGCCTGTGTGTGTTTCATTATATGTGTGCATGTCTGGGCATGTGTACGTGCATATGTGTGTCCCCCTTTGCATGCATGGATGTGTCGCTCCTTTTCAGTCCAATGCCACAGTTACTTGTCAGCATGTCACAAGCGTGCCTCTTGATCATGCACAGGCAAATGCGGTCTTGCTTCAGCATCTCCACTCCCTCCATACCCTGGTACGAGTTGAGATGGCCAATAATCCCTAATCTGCAGCAACCCACTGTTCTGTCAGGATATACTATCTCAGTTGCCTGCTTTCTTGCACCTCCTTTCTTACATCTGCGGTCTCCAGGTGCAACTCATCTGCTCATGGCTTATTCTGCCGTCGCCACTCTCATGGCACTGCTGTGGGGGATGGGCGTGACCCACACGCGAGTCAGAGCGTGGGTGCATCGGCAGGGTTTGGCTGTGACGGCTGGGCTGATGAAGCTGACGAGTGCAAGCAAGTGCCTCGTGGTATGCCATAAAGTCATGCGCTCTGCCCTCCAACACTGCAGCTCTGCCTATGTGAATAACTCTCTTTCACTCACTACTATTACCATCCACTGCTCCAACTTTGCCTCTCATTTCTCCCACTCGCGTTCGCACTCACTCCCTCGACTCCTTTGTGCGCTCACTCATGTTTCCCTTGCTGCTGCACGTCCATCTCCCATCTCTCATCTTCTTGTCGACTCCATTCCATATCTTCCTCACCCTCGCCATGCTGCAGCCACGTGGAAGCGTCCCTCTGCAGCACAGCCCCATGTGAGCATGCCCTGTCTCGTCATCAACATGTCCCCACCTCCCTTGTCACGATCACCTCACCTCTCTTATCGAATGCTATGTGTGTGGATCTCTAACAGTGTAAACCGCCTTCGCGCTTTATTGCCCTTATGTACAAGAAACCCTGGCAGTGTAAACTTGTTCACCTTATGCCTACGCTATAAATACCGATTTCCCTTATGCCTCACCCTCGCTTTCACTTAAGTTCATGAACTCTTCCAATGTTCAACTCGCATTTGCTCTTCCTGAACTTGCCATCTCATTTTCATACTCTGCCATGCCTGTTGCCGTGCCATGTGTGCCAGTTCGGGGATGCAGAAAGTGGGTGAGGTTGTTGTGTCTGTCATAGGAAATATCGCTGGAGTGCACAAGTTGAAAGAGGTGATTAGGATGAGAATGAGGGCGCTTGGTGTGCAGCTGGAAGAGACAAGGAGGGAGTTTAGAGGGCAGGTGGAGGAGAGGGAGAGAGAGCTAGGAGCAGCGAAAGAGAAGCTGGAGGAGACTGAGGGACGACAAGTGGTAGAGATAAGGGAGATGAGAGAGAAGGTGGAGGAGAGGGAAAGAGAGCTGGCAGAAGTGAAGGGGGAGCTGGCCGAACACAAGGAGGCTATGAGAGAGCAATGGGATGTGGCTGAGAGAAGGAGAGAATCGATTTTGAGAGAATTGAGAGAGGAGGCAAGAAAGGGAGAGGAAGAAATGAGGGCGGAGTTGGCAAGGGAGAGGGAGGAGAGGAGGTGGGAGGTGCAGGAGGTAGAGAGGAGAAGAGCAGCAGACTTGATGGAGATGAGTGGGCAGATGGAGGAGAGGGAGAGAGAGCTGGCAGCAGTGAAGGGGGAGCTGGCTGAACAGAAGGATGTTCTTGTGAAGTTGTATGTTGACCTGCAATTCAGAGAGAGTGAAGGCGATCAGAAGACGGCATGGCAGGTGTGTACTGATTGAACTCTTTCATAGGGCAGGCATGGTGGCACAGGGCAGGGATGGTGGCAGACGTGTTTTCCTTTGTCACAACAATGGTCTCCTTTTCTTGTCATTCATTCCCTCTTCATCCTTCTCCTCCAGCGAATTAAGTCAGCATCACACGGAACTGACCTGGTCCTGAAGAATCTCAGCATGCTCTCAGAAGCTATGCTTGCCCATGTGTCCACAATGAGGCATCTGAAGAGCATTAACTTGTGCGGTAGTTCAGGCTTCAGTGCAGAGGGCATCAAGCACCTCTACAGGCTGCCACTGTTGGAGACGCTAGATCTCAGAAGCACAGATGTGTCAGAAAGTGCCTTGGAAGGCATTGGGCATCTCATCAGCCTCAAAACCCTCTATCTCTGGAGGACCAAGGTGACTGATGCTGGTCTGGCGTACTTGACAAGCCTCTCCTCTCTCAGAGTGCTATTTCTTTCTGAGTGCAGCGGTGTGACAAATGCTGGCATGGTGCATGTGGGAAGGCTGACAGGGCTGGAGGACCTTCGGTTGGGTGGCACGGCAGTCACGGATGATGGACTGCAGCAGCTGACTGCCCTGACCAAGCTGGCATCTCTCCGGTTGCCAAATGGAAATCTGGTTTCCAATGAGGACGTGTGCAGGTGGATAGGCAGGTAGGATGACAGGGTGATGGAGGGAGGGGCTGAGTTGACTGCTTGGACAATAGTGAGGGGAGGTGCGGAGGGAAAGGGGTGTGGAGGAGTGTGCAAGTTGACTTGGCAAAGCCTTTTCTGTGTACAACCTAGACTGGCTTACGTGCGATTTGTATATAAATAGCAGGGGTGTGTATGCATGTTAGACCATGGTGGGGGCATGCACTAGGGTGTATGGTCTGTTCAAGTGCATTGTGTTGGCTAGGCTGGTTAGCATGCTGCTGCATTACCCGCCCATGCCGTAGTGGACTGTGACTGGCGGATTTGACCGATTGGCATGGTACACAGGGTGTGGTTGCATGGGATGGATGTACATGAGCATGCAAGCCTTGCCTTGGCAAGGCTTTTCATGTATACAACCTAACATAGTAAGGGAATATGTGACTTGTAGCATCATTTAGAACCCCTCTGGCGATTACTACCACATCAATGAAAGAACATTATATCTGGAATGGCTGGTTGTGAATTGTGCAAAATTATTATAGCACAACGCATACCATAGGTTGTGCAAGTACACCCCCAAATTCCAGCCCCACACTTCACCCACACAGTCATCTACATGGCAACCTAATTGTGTCCCTCAGAACTCAAGATGATTTTTCTGGGATGGGAGCACAAGTGAAGGGCAGGTATGGCAGTGCAGAGCACTGGCGATATGCAAAAACAGAAGCGATCTGGGAATGGCAGAGTAGTAGGATGCTTAGTATTAAGTGAGGTATGCAATAACGTATGCCCCTGGATCATACCAGGATAAGACATAGGCCACAGCAGGCCTATTGATGCATCATGCTGCCACAAGGAAGGAGGTGATGCAAGGATAGATGGGATTGGGCAATAAGAGATGCAGGGTGACAGGGGCTGCAAACACATCTTGGAAATGTTGCAGAGAGGGGGGGGGGGGGGGGGGGGGGGGGGGGGGGGGGGGGAGTCAAGACAACTGGCAGGAAGGAGGTGAACGGGATGTGCAGAGAACAACCAGTCCAACCTTCAGACTTCCAGCATTTCCAGCACATGCCCCGAGCATCACCTTCCCATACCATGCTGACCCCGGGTTTTAAGCTCAAAACATAATATAGGAAATGAGCGGAGTGCAGGCATGAGAGGGCACCGCACTGATGATTCGCAAAAGCAGAAGCAAATTGGAAAGAACAGAGAAGTAGGGTACCCACCATGGGATGAGCTTTGGAAGGAGATGCGCGTGCACATCTGTGGCATCACTTCTGATAGGTCGCACAAGCACGGCAGTTCATGTATCATGGATCGCCATAAGCTGTGGACCTACCGATTTGGATTCCTATTTACCATCTCCGTGGCCATTGCTGTTGTGCTAGAAGCTGCTTGTGGCAGCGCCATGCCCTCAATCAGGTGGCATGGCGTGGAGGGAGGTGAGGCTGGTGGAGAGGGCAACTGAGGGAAGCCATACCATGGAGGCTGATGTTTGGCGCATGGCTATGCCACTGCTAGGAGCTGCTGAGGGGAGAAAGGGGGGTGGCAGGGGAAGGGAGGGGTCGGAAGGGTCAGAGATGGATGTATAAGAAGATCGGTTGATGTACGTGTGCCATGGGATGAAGTGATGGGCACGGCATGATGGAAATGCACGAGTGAGGTGCTGATAGGTAGAAGGCACGAGGGTAGGATAGGGTAAGCCATGAGTGTTTTAAACAAATAAGCTTCCTGAAAGCCCCCATGCCGGCCTGCCCCATTCCGCCTTGCTGCCCTGTCGTTAAGTGCCACGCTGCCCTATCTCTGCAGCACCGCGCCGCTGCTGCTGCTGCTGTTAAGGCCACGCCGTCCCATCACCACGCTGATGCTGTGACTGCACTCCACGCTGCTGCCCACCATGCCACTGCCAACGCCATTGCCATGCTGCCATGCTGCAGGCGCTGGGGGAAGCGCAGGGAGGAGGAGGTGAGTGTGAGCATGATCGCGCCCATGAGGATGAGAGGGGAGGGAGTGAAACATTCCCAAGGAGCAGGAGAGGGCGGGCACCGTGCTGGACACACCCCCCCCCAACCATCTGCGCCACCACGGACGCCCGTATACGCGTCCCCACCTGCAGCTCTTGACTCCCCCTTCCTTCCTCCCCTTTCTCACCAGCCCGCGCCCCTCCCCCCCTGCTACTCCATCCCACGCTCGCTGCCTCTCACTCCTCCCTCTGCCTGCCCCTCCTTCGCGCTGCTGCTCCACTGCACCCACTGCCTGTCTGGCCCCGTCGCTTGCGGCACCCAGGTGAAGTGGTCCCACAAAGGAGCAGACGGCGAGCACGGATGCTGCGGGGCTCACTTGGGCGGACGGCGACAAGGAAGGAGAGCAAGGAACAGGATGAGCGACACGGGGAAGCGAGAGGGGGGAGAAGCGGGGACGAAGGGCAAGGACGGTGGGACGGAAGGAGAAGGAAGGTGAGATGAGGGCAGTGGGGGCGGGGAGCAGGCTACAGTGATGGCACCGACGACACCGTAACCTTCCTTGGTGCCGCCACGCCTGAGGTGACGGCGCTGGAACAGCAGAATGGCAGGTACACGCACGCGACGTCGAAGTGGTGCGCCTTGGCGCGCACGCTGTACACACACTGCTGCTGATGTGGCAATCGTGACTGCCAGATGGTGATGTGTGATGATACGCGGATGAGATAAACAGAGGGTAGGCAGCATCAACTGACGCAAAAGCATCGGCGAAAGGAGGAAAGTGAGAATCTCCGATATGCAAGCCGGATAGAATGGAATGACAGAACCGGCCTTACATCAGGCCTATTTCTAGGGTTTCGCATATTGAAACCTTGTGAGGCTATGACGCATAGGCGTAGACGCTTGAATCTGAGCTCCGCAATCAGATCCGAATGCCATGTCACGATCTGAAATGCGCAGTACTAGCTGTGCTGTGAGCTTCACTCGATGAAATGACATGCGTATGAATTAGAAGTGAGGCAGAGGCCAAACGACGTAGGCTCTCGGCGCTGAGCGACTCTCAGAGAGGTATGGAGGCGAGCAGTTGAATGGCGAGACGAGGGAGATATACTGCCTCTCCAGCCCACTCACTAGCACGCCCCGCTCCTGCGCACCTTCTCCCTTGCGCTCTCCCCTTCTCCCTCCCCCTCATCTCCTCCCCCTCATCTCCTCCCCCACTCCCCTTCCCTCCCTCCCCTCTCTCTCCGCTGTCCACGCCCTGCACTGCCAGCTCGTCCATCAGCCACCGCGGTGCCGCCGCCACCGCCGCCGTCTCCCATGCCCCCTCGCCTTCCCCTTCGCTCCGGCAAGTTGCCGCAGGATGGAGGAGCGAGTGGAGGAGGCTACAGCCATGGCGCTGAGAACGCCGCAGCCCGGCCTTGAGGCGCTCCTTCTCTAGCAGGTCGAAGATGACCAGGATGGAGAGTGGGCTGGAGTACAATGAAGTGAGCAGAGCGGCCGGAAGGTCCCGGGAAACAACGGTGGTAGAAGAAAAACAGTTTCTGTAAAGGGTATTGTTGTGCAAGAGAAAGGAGGGGAGAGAAAAAGAAAAGTAGAAAGGCAAAGGGAGATGGGACTTATAGAAACAACAGTTAACTTATTGTGAACTAGATATTGACACTCCATCACACCTTTACATCAATGCAAGTAGGTGAGGTGGGGTTTGCAACGAGCGGCAGTAGAACCAACAGGGGTGGGACAGAATGGATCCTTTCTGAGGAGGAATCGGCGGGGAGGGGCATGTCGGCTGGGAGAGGCGTGGCGGCGGGGAGATGGGGAACGCGCAGGAGGGACCAGGGGGGTGGTGGTGGGGGAAGGGTGGGGGAAGGGGTTTGACGGGCGACGGGGAAGGGGAAAGAGAAGGAGGGCCGGTGGTGGGAGAGTGGTATGCTTGCCTCCACAAGCACCCGCCGCGGCTGCTGCGGCTGCTGTGGTATTGACAAGCATATTCTCTTCACCGCACCTGAGACTGTTGCTGCCACTGGCCGGCCTTGTAACGCGCCGTGTGTGGAGAGGCGTTGGGAGCAGTGGCCGCACAGGGAGCGGGCATGGGGGCAGCCGGGGGAGTGGGGATGAAGGGGGGAATGGCGTGGCCCCGGGGTGCGGAAGGCCCTACCGGCATGGTGTGGCTGGCGGGTACGAAGCTGGGGTAGGCGGGGGCTGGGGAGGAGAGGGGCAGCGATGGCATACCATGGCTTGTGCTGACGGAGTGAGATGGGCGTGAGGGAGCGGATGGGGATGGGGACAGGGGCGCAGGCGCCGCCTTTCCCAGCAGCGACTGCGGAAGCTGCGAATCCACCTCCGCCACTTTCGCCCATGCCTCTTCGCCGCCCACTCCCGATAACACACCCTACCACCGCTCACGTCCCCCCTTACCCTGCCCGTGTTGCACCCGTTGCTGTGACCACCGCGGCTGCAGCTGCTTCTCACCTCAGGCTGCGACCACCCTGCAGCTGCGTTGGCCTCGACAGCGTGCACCCTGTCGACTGTCCAGCGCTGCCTGCCTGCCTCTCTACTCTGCCCTCGCTACCCTGCTCCTCCCCCACCCACCCCCCTGTCCCCCCCCGATCCCCCCTGAATACATTCCGCGCCCTCCCCTCCTCTCCGCCCCTGCCCTGTTCCGCCAGCGTCACCGCCGTCACCCCTCATCGCCGCACCCCGCTCCTTCTGCGCCCTTCGCACCTGCTCCGCCGCGAAAGCAATCTCCCTTGCTGAACCCGCGCAGCTTCCGCCTGCTTCCCTGCGCCTGCCCCTGGCTTTGCCGCATCATCTGCATCATTTGCCGTACCCCTGCGAGCGCTGAGAACTGGTAGCGAAGGGGAGCGATGACAGAAGCTGCATGTCTGCCCCTCTCGCGGCCTCTGCATGGCAGGTGCTGCCAGGGAAAACACAAGAGTCGTAGGGGTTGAAAATCGGTAACGATTGGAAGGGCTAATGGGAATAATGGGAATACTGGGAGGTGATGAGAGGGACCGCCCCTATCGCCACCTCTGTATGGTCTGACTGAAACCGTCGCCAGGTGCTGCCAGAAACGCACATGAGGGGAGAGGCGAAGAAGTGGAAAGGGGCAGACGAGTGCGGTAGTTATGGAAGGGGGAGATTGCATGGGCTAGCAGGTGCTGCCGCATTATGAGAAATGGGGGCAACAATGTGGGAGCGATAGGGGGGCGATGGGGGAGCAATGGGGGAGTGTTGGGGGAGTGATGGGGGAGTGATGGGGGACCGACTGGGAGAATGGATGGGGGGAACGGGATGGGGGAACGGGATGGGGGAACGGGATGGGAGCAATCGGATGTGTGGCATGGGATGGGATGGTAAGCCCGACAGCACGCACCTCCCTTATGCGGTGTGCAGCAGCAGAGTCATGAGCCCTGTGCGACCTCGCTTGCGCCCTGCATCAGCCGCTAGAAACGGCGTCCCCGCCTCCACGGAGCGGCGAGCCATCAGTGCTTGCAGCAGTATCTTGTTCACCTTCTGATCAATGCTCGCCTCCAACCCCACCACCGCCCTCTCCGCCTCACTCTACGCTGATTTCAATACCTCTTCACTCCTCTTCGTCCTCATTTCTAGCCTTTCTTTCCTGTCGCCCTCTCTCTCGCATTCGCCTCTTCCTCTCCCAGTCTCCTTCCTTATTCTCTCATTCTGTTCCTCTCTTCCTTCCTCACCCCCTTCCTCTCTTCCTCTCTCATCCTGATTCGTACTACCTGTCTCCTCCTCTCGTAATCTCTCACTCTCTTCCTCTCTTCCTCTCTTCCTCCCTCAACCTCTCACACTCGTCCTCTCTCTTCCTCTCGTCTCTCACCCTCCTCTTTTCTTCTCTCACTTTCTCCCTTTCTTCGTCTCTCACCCTCCTCTCTTCCTCTCTCACTTTCTCCCTCTCTTCCTCTCTCTTCCTCTCCTCCATCTGCCCAAGCCTCTCCGCCAGTCTCGTCGTCACGCCAACCTTCATGGCGCGCAGCAAGCACCATCGGCTCACGCCCATCAGCTGCTCTAACGACAGCTCCTCCGCGCTCCCTGTTCCTCCGCCCATCATGCCGCTCGCGCGCATCGCCACGTCGACCTGCCGCCTCCGCGCATGCATTCCGCCTCCACCGAACTCCCTCGTTTCCCCAACCTCCGCCTCGGCGATTTCCCAGTTCTCCGTTGCGCCCTTCTCAGCACAGCATCTGCGCTTTCTGCGCTGCGCCTCGCCGCGCAAATCGCCGCAAAGGGTCCAGCCGTTCATCCTCTCTCATCTGTTCTTTGCGGATGCCCTGGGGCAAAAAGAAAGGTGATTTCTGCTTCATCCCCCGAATGCGCTGCTTCTACTGCACCTTGTTCCTACCAGGGCCAGAAAAGGCGGCCTTGAAATGCGACCCTGAAAAGTGGCTCTGAAACTGCGATCTTGAAATGCGACTGGTGTGCCGCAGCGACGAGGAACTAAGTGGGAGTGACGATCATAGGCAAATGAAACAAATAGCTTGGGAGAAAGGGAAGTCAGGGCTGGAAGTCATAGGGCGAAGGTGTGGGGGAGGGGCAAAGAAAAGGAGCAAGCCCATCAAGTTTTTTGTAGAGCGTTTTTGCTGCGGCACAATTTAGGTTTTGATACAGTAGTGTCAAGCTGTCACAACTCTTTTCACTTTGACTCACAAACGAGGACTAGGAATGTTGTGTGGCGAGCGCTGCAGTTCCTCGCCACTCCGTTTTGCCTTCGCCCAAAGCAACCTGTCGAAGTTTACTTGAACAACACCTTCGCCAACAGCTTCACCAACACCTGCGCCAACACCTTCTTTGGGTGAAGTCAGGATGTCTGGGATTGGGAAACCAACCATCCTGATTTCAGCCGAAGGCTAGATTTCTCATCAGGCAAGACCAGATTTCACCGAAGATAGTGTTTCAGCCATGACAACAGCAAAGGTGGTCACTGAACAACAACCTGGGTCCTCTCGATCGCGACGATCTAGGTTACATCGGCAGACCGTCAAGTATTATTTCACACCCGATTAGTCTTTTGCGGAAACGGACGGTTGGATCGCACTTTCCAGTCACATCTTCATTGGACTTGGCTTCCCCATGGCAACATCCAACGTGTTCAGAGGACGCATCCACGGTGGGATGCCAGGAGCGTATGCGATCAGAATGAACTGTCCAGCACTTTTCTACCCCATGAGACTAAACGTGATTGATGCTTCTCCAGAACGATGGTCACAGTTGACGGAGCCTCGCTTGCCTGGGGCAATGAGAACGCGTCGCACAGTGTCGCATGAATCGCAAAGCGTCGCATGGGTGGGGAATTCGGCCGATGACAAAATCTGATTGGTCTCACAGCTTCAGCTTACTCGGCAATCAGAGTCTCGTTGAACTTCAGTCAGGGACTGAGAGAGCGTATAACCGGCCGTTTCCGTTCCAGTGAAACCGACAGATTTGAATTAGCAAGTTTCTACTTCAACTGGAAACTAGCAACTTGATTTGAATCCTGCATCTCCCGTCATGGGCTTTTGGCGAGATCAATTTCGGCGAGTCCGCAGGATGCGTCACGTCACGAATGAAGTCCATTTGGTACCAATAGCTTCGGAATCTAAGACGAACGGAGCACAGGTAGGTGTCTCTTACTGATGCTCCTGAGGAACTTCTGTTCTCGGTTTGCAACCGACTGTTTCAGTCCCACCTGCACTACTGCTGCCTGCCATGCGAGACGTCAGCAGCATTTAGACCATGATGAAGCGGCAGAGCAAACTTTCACAAATTTGGAGCAACAGGCTCGTTCGTGACTCTTGAGCAGCAAGTTTGCCATTTTCTGGCTTGATAATTGAGCAAATCAAGCTCAGTGCAGGTACAACCAGCAACGAGTCCGCACTAGAAAAAGTGCATGGGTAAGGGCGAGACGAAATCTGATCCGTTCAGGGAAGCTCCTGGAGTTGAATCAACTACTGGTGTGCGTCGTCCTTCGTTCCCTCTCACTTCGTTTGTTGGTTATTTCACCCAACTGGATCCCATCATGCCTAGTACCAAGGAAGACGAGAGGCACAAGCCAATGAGAGGAGCCCCGACAGGAACTGGCGGAGCAGAGCTGAATTCCAGTGATTCTGATGCTGGCAGTAGCAAGGCCAAGGAAGTGGGGAAGGTAGGCGCTGCCAAACATGAGCAGTGGTTAGAGCTTCAAAATTTGGAAGAGTGGCTGGATGCCTTGCTGGGGGCAGGACAGTACCAGCAGGGTGGACAAGGTCAATTCACTGCCGCAAACAGAGGGGAAGCAGAGAAGGCGGTAGAGGAAGAAGACAAGATTATGACGCGAAAGAAGCACGCTTGTTGCAGTTCACTGTGAAATTGGGGATGAGAAATCCTGGGGTGTTGCAAAGCGCACACGGTTATGCAGTCCAGAATGACCCGGATGGAGCGGGACAGCCCACCGGGGCAACCGGAGGAGCAGCAGGGAGAGCAATAGTGGAGGAACGTTCAAAGCCACTTCAGCTGCTGTCTAGGCTGGACATGGTTCACTACTTGAACGTGACGGGCGGGTGGGATGAGGATCTGCGTGAATGCTGCTTTTAGCGTGCAGTGAGCCAGCGAGCTCTTGCCATAAAGAACCTGGAGGACTTGCGTCGCCACCTGCGCGTGCAGCAGCCTCGTTGCATCCCCGCAGCAGACCCCAAGCAGCAGCAGCATCATGCAATGTCTCCTCAGGTGCTATTTGTGTGGAAGCCCGAGAGGGCGCCTCGCCTTTGCGCAGAACGGATGTTTCTCGAGTGGATGGCTGAGCCTTGTGTGGGTGTGCTCATGAACCTGCAGAAGATCAGATCTCGTCTGCCTGCTATCCTGGATGCAACAGCTGCTCCAGCTGCCCCTGTTGCTGCCCCTGTTGCTGCCCTTGCTGCTGCTCCTGCTCTTCCTGCTGCTCCTCCTGCCCCTGCTGCTGCCCCTGCTGTTCCTGCTGCTCCTCCTGCTCCTGCTGCTTCTCCAGTGTGGTCCTGCTGCTGGCGCTGCAGCGGCTGCTGGGCTGCCTACCGCCGTGCTGTCAATGTCTCAACGTTCCTTGTGCTTGTAGCGAGATCCCCTCACCTTGTGACTCTGTGGAAAGCTCATTTGGTCTCGTCTTCGTCTGCCTGGCCAGCAATTGTCACTGAGCTGGGGGGGAGCAGGCAGGGGGAGATTGACAATTTGCGTCCATGCTGGTGCAGGTGCTGGGGGTGAAGGAGAGTGCTGATCTAAAGGAAAGGTTTGGGTTCTTTGTGCAGCAACTGCTGTCAGGCGGGCTGGAGATGGCGCATGCACAGGGGAGGGGGATGGGGTTGGCTGAGGAGAAGGCTGTCGAGAAGACGTATGGGGGGGCGAAGGGCATGTGCGAGGCTTCACCTGGGAGGGAGGATGGGAGACACGGAGAGGAAGAGGCAGGGAGCAAGGTAGAGATGGATGGGGTTGTTGGCGTGTGGGGGAGGGCACGAAAGGACGTGAAGTGGAGGGCGCATCTGAAGGGACGTGTGTGGGAGAGGTATGTGGATGGCATGAAGTGGATTCTGGAACATGGTGGGGGGGAAGGGAGGGAGTTCTGGTGCAGCCACTGCAGTGAGGACAGCAGCAGCAGCAGCAGCATCAGCAGTTCTGGCAGCAGCAGTTGGAGAAGCAGTGCTCCAAAGGGTATGCATGTGAGTGGTGTAAATGCGACCGATTTCGCCCTTGCTGTCACCACAGTGTTATTTAAACCAGAGCACTGGATGGATGCATGGTTGTTCTTCCATGATGGGAACAATTTGAACAAGATGAAGGTAGAAAATGCAGCTGTTGAGGTGGCCAGGAAGAGGCTGCTGCATTGCCTGAAGCAGACAAAGGGGATGGATGGAGAAGAAGGGGCAGATGCAGGAGCGGCCCTGCCTGGTTCAAACTCTAGACTTGTGCCTGTCAATACAAAGCCGGTGGTTGCTGCACTCACCTATCGAGTTGGTTGCATCTTGCAGTGGATCCGGGTCTACGGCTCAGATTTCATCTCGGAGAAACAGTGCTTCATAAACGACCCTCAGAGCAAGGTCAGGTCCATGCGCCATCCGCTTCGGGACCTTCCTAGCCTTCTGCTCAGGTTCGGCGCCATCCCGAAGCCTCTAGAGGGAAGCAGCATTGCTTTGGAGTGGGAGGAGTGGCCTGCAGGCGAGGAAGCTGCTGTGAAGTTTCCTGTGAACCGAAAGGAGAGGTGTTTTGGGCTTGGGATAGTGGAGGAGCGTGGTGAAGCAGCTGAGAAGCTGATTGGGCATCCTGCAGAAGGCCAAGGAGGTAGTCAAGAAGGAGAATGGAGCATGGCGCGTGGGATAGCTGAAGCAGGAGAGGGCAGCAGGCGTGCAAGGAGGAGAGTGTCCAAGTCGATAGAGCAAGGAGCTTGGGAGGAATCCATACAGAGCAGAGCGCGTGGAAGAGCCAAAGCATCTGGGAACGACGAGCAGAGAGTAACACTGCCACCCCCGAGAAGGAAGCTTCCTATTGTTCGCTGCGAGGCAGATGTGGACTTCCTGGTGGGGTTTGCCGGGTATGTCATGCACCCTCCTGCCTGCACCCAGTGCAGCACCTGCTCTGCGGAATTCATGCAATCCGTGTGCATGGCTGCTCTCATTGTCAACTTTGCTTACTGCCCCGTCAGCCATCTGTTCTCCCGCTTGCTCTCGGTCTTCCCTCCCTCCTCCCCTGGCTTCGACAAGCTGGTTGAGTGTCTGGACCTCCCCGCACGCCTGCCCAGGCCGTTGAACCTGCACATGCTGCTGAGACGAGCGGAGCAAGTGCCTCTGTACTTCCTCATTCACATGGCAGTGTGGTGCGCTCGTCCTCTTCTGAATCTTGCTTGTTCTGAGGGAGGGTACAGTGAGAAAGGGCAGGGAGTGCAGTCAGGTGCACGAAAAAATGAAGTGGCGGAAATGGGAAAAGGTGGCAGTGTGAAGGTGCAAGGCTGCTGGGATGGTGAGGTGTGGGAAGAGGTGGAAATATGGTACTTTGCAGCAATGAAGACATGGATGTCAAACCTGAGGGTTGAGGGAGGGAGTGAGGAGTGCAGCGGCAGCAGAGAGCGGGAGAGGCCTACAGGGGGGTTCGATATCACGTGGGCTCTTGCAGCGGCGATCATCCCGAGATACTGTGAGGGGTTGCAGGGGCAGCAAAGGTCTGCCATGGGGAGCAGCAACAAGGGCAGCAGCAGCAGCAGCGGCGGCGGCTGTGAGAAGAAGGGCGAGAAGGGGGAGGAGCCGGCGTATCTGAAGGCATGGCCAGGGGGAGTCAATCTGGTGGCATGTCTGCGAGAGATGCTGCTGGGGGAGCCGTGCTACCACCCTGCCTCCCCTGCTGCCCCTTCCATCCATGCTACTGCTTCCACCCATCCTGCTGCTTCCACCCATCCTGCTGCTTCCACCCATCCTGCAGATAGCATCCGAGCTGGATCTGCTGCTACCGCTGCTGCTGCTTCAGGTGTCCGAGGCCGTGTGTGCGGTGCTGCGGGATGTGGGATGGTGGAGGGTGGCGGAGTGAAGCTGAGGAGGTGCGGTGGGTGTGGCAAGGTGGCGTATTGCAGCAGAGAGTGCCAAAAGGCGCACTGGCCCTCCCACAAGCTCACATGCCCTGGCAGGAACAGCGGGGAGAAGAATGGGAAGGATGGGAGTGGGGTTGGGAGCAAGGATGGTCGCATAAAAATTGGCAAGGAGAGTGATTGTGAGGGTTGCGGTGAGAGTGGTGGTAAGGAAATATGCAGGCAGGTTGGAAAGATGTTTGGCGAGGTCAGTTGCATAGGCAGGCGCAAGGACAGTGCTAGGCATACGTGTGAAAGCGTCAGTGAGGAAAGCTTGAAGGTTGGTGGCAAAGCTGAGAAAAGGAAGGAAGAGAGAAGGAAGGTGGGGGCGGAGGGGAGGGGAGGGAAGGATAGGGGTGCGCAGTAGCTCAAAGATTGCAGGAGGTTTAGGGAGAATACAGAGGGACTATGACAGAGGAATCACAGATGAGAGAGCTTTAAGGCTTGGTAAATTTAATGCTGTGGGATACTTTGGCTTTTGATTACTGAATGTTTCATTGCCATTACATGCCAACATGCTGCATAGCGGACAGCAACAAGAGAAAAAAATCTCAGCCCTGGAATATTTGGATATAAATCAGTTCTCACCATCAGTTCCCACCATGTGCACCCCTAGACCCTGCTGTGCAATGTATTGCACCACCTCACTGCATCTTCATCCTTCCACAGCGCATCGTCTGAACGTCGTCATGAACAAGTGGTGTGGGATGTGAGAGGGGCGTCCACGAAAAGGCAGCAGAATGAAGACATGTGGGATTGGAGCATGCACAGCCAGAAAAGGAAGCGTAGTGGCTCAGTATGTGTAAAAAAGGCGTGAGAGAGGAGAGGAGAGTACTGGTCAGACATAAATCCCACCAAAACGCTAACTACCCCATCATTGCAACACCCAGCATCACACCATGACACCAACACAGAACACACCGGCGTGTTGACTTGTTGGAAGATAATTACCCCCACTGTATACAAACCACCATCCCACCACCCCATGACCCACCAACACCTTGAGCCGTCGGAATATGGTCACTCCCCGCCACGCAACCATCAGTTCAAGGTCCTGCGGCGTCGATACCACCACCGCTCCTGGTGAGGGGCATGGGTGGATGAATGGGTGGGGAAGGAACAGTGGATGGGTGAGACGGAAGAGACGATTGGAGGAGAGGAGGGTGGAGGACTGCGAGCAGATTCAGCAAATGAGAAAGTGAGTGCGAGTCACGAGGCATCCGTGGGGGCAGGGTGCTGTGGTGTGTTGACACCATCAGCAGTGCTGGGAGCATGGGGCAGGCAGTGTGGTGTGACAGCACACCTCCCCAGCTGCACCTCCCCAGTGGCCATTCAGTGGGGCCACCACCAGCACATGCACCAACCCATCTCCACCTCTTCCTCCGATAGTGCTGGCCTCATACCATCCCATCCCATCCCATCCCATCTCAACTCCTCCCTCCCCTCCTGCTCCATCCCATCCCATCCCATCCCATTCCATCCCATCCCATCTCATCCCATCCCATCCCATCCCAACCCATCCCATCCCATCCCATCCCATTGCATCGCATCCCATCCCATCCCATCCCATCCCATCCCATCCCAAACCACCCCATCCCCACAACCATCTCTCTCCCCCCCCCCCCCCCCCTCCCCCCCCCACCCCCCCCCACACACCCCATCCCATCCCATCCCATCCCCTCCCCTCCCCTCCCCTCCCTTCCAATTTTCTCCCCTCCTGTCCCCTCCTTGATCACCGCGCTACACAGCGGCCACGCGAGCAGGCACGAGGAAGCCCATGGACATGCAGAGCACGCCGAGCGCCTGCAGTGGCAACATGGGCGCGTGGGTTCGGGCGAGGCCAGCAAGGGGCGGCCGGTAGTCTCTAGGTCCAGCGAGCAGAGGGCAGCCGGCGATGTCCAGGGCGAGCAAGTTGGGCAGTGAGGGGCCGACCACGTCGGCGTTTAGCAGCCCCACCTGCAGACGCATGTGACGGCGTGGGACACTGCCGGGTTCACTGGGGGGACGGAGGATGGGGGGACAGGGAGATGGGGGAATGGGGAGAGGATTGATTGGGGATGGAGGAGGGGGTAGGAGGAACGGGGGGAGGGAGTGATGCGGGTGGGAATACGGGTATGTGAGAGGCATGGGGTGAGAAGCAAGGGTGACAGACACGGGTTCAAACGAATTCAGGAAAAGGGACGGGGCAAGGTGAATGGGGTAAGAGGCATTGTAAGAGAGGAACGGGGTGAAAGGGCTGGGACGACTGGTGCTTGAACTGAAGGAGGCAGGGGTGAGCAAGGCATGTGTGGAAGCCCGTGGGAATGCAGAGCCACCTTTCGCGGACGCCAGCCACGATGTGTTTCAACCCGGGCAGCAACAGGCTGTCGTCATCACCGCCTCTGCTGCCAATGCCGCTTCTATTGCTGCGGCTGCTGCCGAAAGCGTGCTGATGAAACCCCTGCTGCTGCTGCCATGTGGAGTCCAGATGCTCCCACCTGTGCTGCCTAGCGTGCTGCTGCAAGTCGTACTGCGGGGAAAGGCACCTATGCTGCCTATACGCACGGCACTGTTGCTGTCTAGCGTGCTGCTGAGATTCGCGGGATGATATATCTCAGCGGACGAAAAACGCCGCCCAATTTCGCGGTTCAGAAGGGACAACGGCCCTCCTCGGGATTGACGAGCTCGCGACGACCTCCGAGCTCCGAGCTGGGCCCAAATGGCGTCCCAGGGGCCTCGTGAGCCCTCGGGAATGTCGACAATCCGACGACATAGGTTTGCGCTCGGAGATTCCTGAGAAGTAAATCTCAGCGGACAAAATAGGAGAGCTCGCCACGTCGAGCCGCGACTGCCGCCACACGGACCAATAGGGGGGAGCCGGACCGTCCCCACCGTGTACTAGGCTGCCACGACGTGGCCGTCGTGGCCACGCGTCGCCCCAGCGGTGATTTTCCCAAAGCGGGAAAACATTCACACCTTTGAAAATGGGCCAGCTCGATCCACGCGGCAAAAATCGGACCGTCCAGGATGTAACTGTTCTGTGGCATCGCGTGTTGCATGCGATGTCGGTGTCTACCAGTACATCCACAGGCCCACAACCAAGCCACGCGGCACAATCCCAACGCTATCTATGTTCAATGAACCTAAGGAAACAGCCAAGCGCGCCGAATGTAAGTCGGCGCCGATCTTTGGGCGCCCACGGTAGGACTGCCACGGTGGGATTCAAGAATTCCGGCACCCTCGGAGATTCGAGCCTGCATGCAGTAATTTCGGTACTAAGAGGCCAATGTCGGCCCCAAGCCACGTAACACACGCCCATTCCACCGTGGAAAGGGCCTGGCTTATGCCCCTTCGGTGCAGCGCGAAGTCACAATAGCCATGCTTGGCGCGTGGCACTTCGGGCAGTGCGCCGCCTATGCGAGAACACATGCACGGCGGCAGGAGCATAGGGGTGTGCGTGAATCGCAGCAGCGTTGGAGTCGCTCAGGACCATACCCGTCCGTGACCGTGCGGGCCTGCTCATTCCCATGTCCGTTCCTGCGTTTCTTCCTGCTCTCTCGTGCACTTAGAATTTTCAGTTGCCAGTAGGGTACTCGGTTGCCGACTTGGTCAGTAGACGGTTCAAGTCGACGACGCATGGCCAGAGGTCGCCCTAGAGCACAATAGCCGCAACCCATTCCACCCCCTGCCGACTCTGTAGACGCCGACATCAAAGCGCAGTTAGAACGGCTCAAGGTCGAAGCCGAGTTAGACGCACTTGAGCGAGAATTCGAAGAAGTCCGCCGCCGCGGAACTCTACGCGCGTTCACCGCATCCGTGAATCAGTACCGTCTCTGGTTTACCGACCTCCGCATCGCAAACGGACGACGGTAGAGCAACATACGTGCTGCCACATGGCCAACGTCGACATGACTGGCGCTAGACCATCCACCGACCACAGTCCGACATCTACCGAGGAAGAGACGCTCCCCTTACTCTATGATCTTGAAAAGCTGACGCAGATTCCGGAAGGGGAGTTCACCAAGGACATTCCCCCACCGCCGATCGGGGATTTCAACAAGAAATAGAAACAGAATCCGACGCGAAACGGACGGCCAGGAACTTCGTCGGCACCGGCCGGCTCTGGAAACCAGGTTGAGGTCGAAGAGGAGGAGGATGGGGGGGAGGAGGAGGAGGAGGAAAGCGATGACAAAAACGACGAGCGTCCGCCGCGTAGCACTAGTCAGCGCACCTTGGAAGAACGGCTCAGGCGGGAACTTGAATACATAGATGACCTGCTCGAACAGGACGAGGATGCCGACCAGGAGAATTTGTCGGTGCCGCGTGAACAGTGGAGGGCGGCAGACTTCGTAGAGGAAGACATGGTGTACGCGACCATCGACGTGCTCGTCTTGGACGCCCTACGCCACCTGCAGACCGTGGAGAGGAACAGCACGCTGAGGCAGTACACCTCGTGGATCTATCACTACAAGAGTTGGGCGGCGAAGATGTTGATGCAAATTCGCAACAAGCTTCCCCAGGAGTACAGGCTTAAGCGCGTCAACAAGATAGGGCACTACATCCGGGACAACAAGAACAAGAATTGGGAACAAGAGGCCGATGTCCCCCGGTCGCACGTGTGGCTGCACGGCCCTAGGGTCACCACGTCCCGGCTTCGCGCATACGTGAAGTACATGGCTCGGGAGATGAAGCTCGATGCCGAGTCCAGCAAGGAGGGCGACAACGCCACAGGAACACAACCTGTGCAATCCACAACGGTGCACACGCTCCTCGGGCGCATAAAGGCATGCCAGATGGCGGCGAGAGTGGAGGCGACGATATACCGGGAGACGGAGCTGAGCATCATGCGTGAGATATCGGTGGTCAGGTCGGAGGTGCGGTTCATGATCCGCACCAAGAACGAGCGGGACCTCAAGTGAGTTTTTGTTTAACCTCTGTCGACCACTCTCTTATTGTCATGTACTGTGTCGACGTCTCCCTAAATGCCCCTTACCCTCGGCATTGTCGGCAGGAACTGCACCGATCGGCGTTGCGGAACCATTGGCGATACCTACACCGCAGAACAGTTCCGCCAGATCATGTTCAGGGTGCTGCCGACGTGGGCGGCTAAGGCTTGGAACCCGCGGGGTACGGGCCCGTCGCAGACGCTGTGGCGGTTTCTGCTGTTGAAGGTGCTCACGCTACTCTCCCACCATTCTCTCCTGCGCGGGGCAAGCATCCGCGAGATCACGCTCCCCGACATATTCTTGTACCGACTGGCGAGCACCTCGTCGGTGAACCCGGAGAACCAGCCGGTCGTCATGGTCATCGCTGCGCGGAACTCGAAGACGTCCAAGGATGCGCGTCTGTAGCAGAGCTAGACTGCTCGGCACCTCGAAGCGGAGTTGAGCGCCGTCAGCGAGACGGGCCTGTGGTTGCACTTCATCCTCGACCACATCGGCCAGTTTCACGGCGTCCGCCTCATTCCGCCGGTGGACACCAGCACACGCGCGAGCTGGTACAAGAAGCACCTCTTCTTTACCAAAAACGACACCGACCAAGGGGAGCTCTCCGCGGCAAGCCACCAACGCTGGACGCGGCAGTTGTGGGACAAGAACGGGGTGTTCTGCAAGAGGAACATGCACGCCGCTCGAGCGGGAGGGGCCCAGGAGCTGGCCATCGACGGCACGCCGCGCGCCGAGATCGCGGAGCTAGGTCACTGGGCGCTCGACAAGATGACGTGAGCGTACATCACCGCCATTCCGGTGGGGGTGGTGATGAAGAAGGCCGGTTACTCTGGTTACAAGCAGGACTACTTCTTGGGCCGGAGCAGGGTGGAGCCCTCCGATAAGCTCTTGAAGCTCCTCGCCGAGCACATCTTCCCCGGCGTCGACGACATGCTGAAGACGGTACGTTAGTCGATGCCCTCGTATCCTTGTTTCCGAGTCGTGTTGCCGACAGTGTCTGAACTTCTAATACATATGACAAATTGCAGGCGGAAGGGAAGGCTGCCGAGGGGTCCGACGCCGACAAAGCCGCGGTGCACTTCTGGCGCACACTCGCGATGCTGCGCCGCATCGTCGCCGAGGACCTAGCGGTGAAGCTGGTCCGCACACCATGGCACCGGTGCGTCCAAGGCTCCCTGCTCTACCGGATCCCCCTCTTCCAGCAGTGGGCAAAACGGGTCGAGAGGGTCGACACCGAGACGATCAACAAGCGTCGGGACCCGACCCAAATTCAGGCAGAGGTAAGTCGACGACGAGCTGGATGTAGGGCATTCCAAACCACCTCGCGGCTAACGTCTTTGTCCTACCGCTACAGGAAATCTCTATCCGCATGGACACCGAGTACTACAACATATCCCTCAAGGCGACGCTGACGAAGGTGATCGAGCGCGCCGCGAACGAGAAGATTGACTTCTAGGAGGAGCTCGAGAAGCGCGACGACACCATCGCGTCTCTCACCGCCGAGATAACCCGTCTCACCGAGGCACTCCGTGTGTCAGAAGCACGGAGAGTGCCGGAGGCCCCGCCGTGTGCTACCGCAGAATCTCCCAGCGAGGGTGGCTCGGCGGATTCGGCCAACATGGGAGCCGGCGCCGACGGAGGGGACGACAAACCCCCGCCACCCCCATAGACGGACGAGGAGGCTAGTTACGAGCTCAACGTGGTACAACCGTGGCGGGAGGCCAAGACCGTGAGGGACGCCTGGCGCCTCTGGAACTCCGCCACCACTAATGACACCCGTCGGCTTTGCGACAGGATCGCCGAGCCAGGGTTCATCGACCGCCACACCCTCCTCGCCGGCGCGACGCAGGGTGCACTCAACAAGAGGGTGCGCCGCATGCTGAAGGTCATCGATGCGGTGCGCCAGCTACGCGCGAGCGACGGCGAAGCCGACAGCGAGGCCGTGGTCGACACACTGCACAGGATCGCGGCATCGGGCATCGGGACCTTCGCCGATGCCCTCACGGTGCTCAAACCGGGAACGGCACCGATGTTGTCCAAAGAGGCTGGCATGGGAGTCAAGGGGCTGGGCCCCAAGGTGGTCTCGAAGCTACGCCTCGCCTGTGTGCTTGTGGCGCTCAACCTGAAGCAGAGTGATTGGGTCGAAACCCTGTTTCCAAACACGTGGGAGGAGCAGATGCCGAAGACCAAGGCCGACCTGGCGAAGCCGACGGCACCGGCCAAGTCGACAGCACCGGCCAAGCCGACCGCTCCGGTGCACCGTCCTCCGACCAAGCGGAAGAAGTCGGCATGAGCGCGCTTGTAGGATATGCGTGTGCGTAGTTCGATGCTGTTAACTGTGGCAGACTTTAAACCCCCCTCCCCCCCCCCCCCCCCCCCTCTTTTTTCAAATGCTGTTCTGCTAGTTTGTAACAACTCACAGCAAGGCCATTGCGAACCTACTTGATCCCGTCGTATTAAATGTATTTGGTCGCTCATTACTAATCAAAACACAGATAGATGTCGACGTCACGGAGGTTTGCATGTTGCTAGGCTGTCGACATGTACCTAGTCATAGCTCGTCGTCGAGTAGCATGTTCTTATTGATGTCGACAGATGCGCGGACAAGGCTCATCGTTCAAAGACGGCTAGCAAGTTTCAATGTGAACAGTAGGGTTTAGGTTCATCACAAAGTGAAGCAAAGATTCGTGCCCTACGATCAAAAAGTCATTAGATTTACTACAACATCGGCGCCGACCATACCATAGCATCCCGCACACCACAGCCCACCAACTACGCATCCGTACTGCCCTTGCCCTCCTTGCCCTTCTTCCTCTTGCTGCCCTTGCCCTGCTTGACCTTCTCCCCCTTCCTTCCCCTGTGATCCATATCGTACTCCATCTTCGCGTCACACGGCACATCGATGCCCTGCTCTTTTAGCTTGGGCCCGGCGACGGGGCACATTCCCCAGAACGCCAAGGTCTCGACCGTCGCTCTGGCGATCATGTCGGCCTCGACTTCCTCAACTCCCTCCTCGAAGGCCCTGACCACTGCGTGGCGCTGCAGCGATGGCGCAACGTAATGGGCAACCTCCCCCGCGGGAGCCTCCCGACTGCGTGCTAAGTCGATCACCGCGTGCATCACCTTCTTGAATGTCTCGGCCCTCTCCTCCTCCGCACCTGCGACCATCGCCGCCCGCCTTCCCTTCGCCCACAGCACCGAGCAACGACGCTCCCGTCTCCACGAAGCACCAGAGGGCGCATGCAGATGCCGCTAACGCATGGGCCGCCATTTCCGTCTTCTCGTCCGCCTTCCCCTCCGTGCCTTCCATCTCTGTCTTCTCTCCCGCATTCCCTTCTACACTCGCGTCGACCTTCCCAAACGCCGCGCTCCGCTGCGACTTTCCCATACGCCGCGCACATCGACACGCGATTTACCATCGCCGACATGAGAGCCTCCGTCTCCTCCTTGCCTTCCTCTGTGTTTTCGATGATGGGGGAACCATATCGCCGGCCAGAGCACCCCATGAAGCGCATCACCCGACCTCGCGTACCCACGGTACCTGCCGAGTATGTCGTCGATCCTTCCGCGCAAACACATTAAAACGACACCGACTTCAGCGTAATGACACCGACATGGTCGACAGAACTCGGGCGCGTCGATAGCCGTCTTACCTTGCTCTCGGATGGCACAAGCCTCTGGCCCACATCACCGTCCACAACCCAGTCGGTAAGAACTTGACCTCCTCCCACACCTCCTTCCATTTCTCCAACTCCCCCGGCTTCAAGACGGTGAGCTCCTTCATGAGCACCTTGCTCACGTAGCCGTCGTAGACGACGTACGCAATCGCGTGCTCGTAGGCCAGCTCCATCTTCTCCCTCGACTTGCCGATATATCGATTCCGTTCGTTTACCTTAATCTTGCCACCCACCCATGCCCGTCGCCGGACCTGTCTTGGCGGATGCCATGCCCCCTGCGTTCTTTATCTCCCTCGCCGCCCTCCTCGTCATCCTCCTCCGCCTTCTCCTTCTTCTTCGCCGGCTTACTCTTGCCGCCCTTCTTGTCCTGACTCCCTTCCGCCTTCTTCCCTTTCTCTTCCGACATCTCCTTCCCCCGCCGACATCGCCCGCGTGCTCCCTTTTGAGACCGCGCTCCCTTTCTCGGTGTCGACCTTCCCCTGCCCTCCCGCATTACTCTCGGCGGACAGCACCCGTTGCAGCCGTCGGCTCCGCCGATCCCCCACCGTGGGTCGCCAACGGCCCCACATGCGCCGTGTCCATGATGGCCAGAGCAGGGGCGTGCTCAGGGTGTTCTGCTGCATCAAAATGGGCCAGGAAGGCAGCGAGTGCGGCATGCTTGTCGGGGCGGCCGCCGGTGGCTAGCGCTGCACTCACTCCCCTCTCCGCCGCCAGCATCGACCACAGCTGCACCTGGTGAGGGTGCGGTCGCGTTTTACCGACGTCGTCGTCGCGCTTTTGCCGTGTTCCTGCTGAGTCACAGGTGGAGCAGCCGCTTGCGTCCGACTAAATGGGCGCGCAGAGAAAACGCTGACTTGGAGTCCGCAGGCGTTGGGGCGGCAACCGGATGCGCTGCAGGTGAGGCCCCGGACGATGTGCCGGCAACCTGCGGAGTGACGGAGCGACGTGCTGTTCCGGCAAGGCCGGCGTCGACCACGGGATGCTGCTGCACGTCCCTGCTATGTGCCTCCATGCGGTGGAGCATCTCCCTGAGCGTGTCAGCACCGGGGGGCCCCTTAGCTGATGCCGGAGTAGCGCCCTTAGCCGAAGCAGCCTTCGCGCCGCCCTTGACGGCAGCGGGGCTCCTGGAGCTGGAGGGGCCGCACGGGCCTTCCCAATCTTTTGGTCGCACCTGACTGGCCGGCAGGCGCGCTGGTAGCCTCAGGGGGGGTTACGGGGAGGGCACTTGGTGGTGCCGAGGACCGTAGCAGAAGCAGCCTTCGTCTTGCCCTTGGCCGCCACAGCGACGGACCGTCCCTTGGTGGTTCCGGCGCCGCCATCTTCCGCCGCCTGAGCAGTTTAGACCTCCTTGTCGGTCACGACTTTCCCACCGCTCGCCTGAGGATGGGTCTTCTCGGCGACCAAAGGCGGGCCTGGCTGAGCGGTGACGTTAGCGGCAGCCCCGTCGGCAGGGCCACCCTCTGCCGTCCCGCTTCCGCCACCCTTGGTGTTCACGTCCTTATCACCCTCCACCCGCCTTCGTCTTCAACTGGTCGACCACGCTCTGTGGCGCAGGCTTCGAGCCGCGGCTCCCGTCCGATCCCTTGCTCCGCTTTGCGTCGCCCTTCGCGCTCCTCCTTGTCGTCTCCGTCGCCCGTCCTCTTCAGGCCCTGCTTGTCGGCCGTCTTCCGTTGCGCGTGATCGGCGTCATTGGCCGACGGCGACGACCCACGTCGACCAGGCGCCACAGTGCCGACCATCTCGGCCATCATCTTCATCCCGGAAGCGACGAAAGGCTGCTGGGTGGCCTCCGTCACCGCCTTCATAATGTCGGCCTTGAATGACTTCAAGAGCTCTTCCAAGAGGGCGGC